CTGGTACGCACCACCCGGTACGGGTGATATCATTCGAAATTTAAAACCCTGCATTATACATTCAACTACATGTCATACAATATACAAACATAAAAATATATGCTACTTTAAATTTGTGATTATAATATAATATATCATAAATATGTTTAGTATAAAGCATAAACATATAAGTTATATAAAAATAAACAATGACTAAAATATCAAAAACATATAAGATGATATTTTAAAAATGAAAAATAATTACAAATAATAGATAAAACTAATGCAATTGGACCCTCCAAGTGAGTCAAACCAACACTTTTTAAGTTTTGTCTCGATCATCAATTTAATAGTGAGTCAACTGATGCTTTGACAACACCTGCCGAATCTTTATTGATCATGGAGCTTAATGCTATATGTCAGCAGCCTCCAATACTATCATTTTAATGGTTGAACATAGTTGAGAACAGCCCTTCTGACAGATGAGGAGTCATGCCTTTTGTAGGCCATGTATCAGATACCTATCAATTGGAATCACCCTACAGCCACATGGAGCCACAGAACCTGAAATCTTTGTTTTGTGTGACTAAAGTTACTGATCATAAGGATAATCCCTCTCCAAGGAAGAGGCTAAAAAAGGAGACTTCCACTACAGCTATTAGATCAAGATTCTCTTTTCATTTATTCTCTCGCCTAACAGTTCAACTTCTTCAAGAAACAAAGTTTGACAGTTTGACTCAGCACCGAAGGAAGATCTCATAAACTGCATTCCCAGCATCTTCATCTCTATTAGGTCTTTTGAGATTTGGAAACTGAGTCGGACTCTCAGACCATTGATTAAGTGGGAGATGAACACAATCAAGCAGTGCCTCTCCAACAACTGAAGGCCCAGGTTAGGTCCATCACATATATGTTAAAAATATTCAAAAAAATATCATATACTAAAATAATTAAAAATAAAATGTGCTAAAATATTGTTTCTAAAAATATTATATAATATGGAATATATTTTTTTATTTAGACAAACAACTAGAAATTGATCAGGTGACTTGCATGCTTATTAACATTTACTAATAAACAAAATTAATGATGTAATATAATACTAAAAATATAAAATAAAAAATCTTATGACTAAGATTTTGTTCAGTGTCATGCATTTGCTTATTTTTCTTTAGCAATTATAACACAAGTTGTTGTATGTTTATAATATTTTGTAATAACATTTTTCTTTTTTATGTTGTTTTAATTTACATTTTTTTAGCCGATTCTAATCTAGCCAATCTGATAGCAGATGTAGAGTCTTCACCATTGGCCAACAATCATACAAAGATTAATTTTCCAACCTATGGCTGAGGATCAAGAGCACAAAGACTTAATTGTCATGATCAAGTCTGAGTTCGAGAAGATAAATTGTTCGTATTAGATTATTGTTAGTTTCAATTTCTACTAGACATACCACCAATGCTGACAACTTCCCACCTGTTCATTCCCTCCACCATTTTCTATTTTCATCTTTTCTTCCTCTCCTTCCTCTGGAAGGATCTAGACTGGAGATCTTAGCTGACATGAAGGTATATGACATTAATTTAGAGAAGCCTTTTTTTGGGATATTACAATGGAGCTCCAGTCGATCCCAATTCAAATGTCCAATGCAGGTAAGGATCAAACAAATTTTGAAACTGTGGCTATCACCATGAGTATTATCATAAAGTTTTAAGGAAGGATACATATTATGACCTGACTAATCTGCTAGCAGTAACTTTGGTTAAAGCATGTTGCTTCACATACCTAAGTCCACTTCATTTGAGTTATGAGGCCAATAACTGTATTGACTCTTGGTTTAAGCCTATTTTAAACCAAGTTGGCATCTAAAATGTGGTTTTTCTTGATCTTAAGGCAAGCAGGAACATTAAGATATGAGCAATAATGTATTGAAACCCATCTAGATTCAATTCTATACAGAACCCAGAAAATGGATTCTGTTCTACACAGTCATTCACTGATGACAATGGTCATCATTTGAATGAGATAGACTGTGACACCCCAATAGTTGGGATTAGAAAAGAAATCAAAACACACAACTTGATTGGATTACTAGTAGCAACTAAAGTCTGGATCATATATAGGTAAGCCAGCTCATGGAAGCAATTCCACCTTAAAGATACTACAATAACATAATTGTCGCATAAATTAAATGTAAAAAAACACTGAAACAGAGACAACTGTCCACCATGATGAATCCGGATACCAAAATTCAGTAATCATGATTGTCTCCAGTTCATGAACATCATTTATCTGTCATCAAGATTTATGGTACAGAGAAATGGAACCATGTATTGTTTCATATATTATCCAGCTTTCCTCCTCAAAATTATAATAATAGTTTGCTTGCACCCCAATGTTTCATAAACTTAGCAGTATCTAGCAAGCATCTTGCTATTTTCATGTGTAATGTTCTAAATCAGCAAAACATAATTACTATCATGGACAAATCTATACCAAGGGTGTTCGATGTAATGTTTGTGTATATCTGCGTCTTTCAATTTTGTTCATGCTTTGCACAGCATGTATAGGATTTGCAGTAGGCTTGATAGCCCTATTTTGATTGGCTTTTGTGGCCATTTTAATCTTGCAAATGCAGGTTGTGTGCAATAGTCGCACAGAGGCAAAATTATCCAAAAACAAACCATCTAAGTAGCCATTTTGGGGGTTTTCTATATCTGCATAGTGGTACGGAGTGTCAACTAGCATAACACTCTAGAGCTACCTGAGTGACACATAGCTGGGTGAGCCTTTGGGGTATTGTCTAAGGTTGGTTCGCTGACTTGTTCTACAATAGTGTCATGTGGGCATTTATGGGAACTTTTGATCACGATAGATCACCTTGGACCCTTTGTAGCGTGATCGTTCAGAGCTTGCGAAGTTTATATTTGTAATTTACATTGTCTATCAAGCATTTGTTGAAATGTCTACTTGTGAGATCCCAAATTAAACACTTCATTTAGCTCATCTTCTCTTTTGCAGGTCCTTAAGAGACTATAAGATGTTTGAGGGAAGTTGACAGTTTGCAGATAGACATGCAAGGGTACCGCATGACTTAAGCAAAATCAGATAAGTCTGTGACATTACTGAAGTTCATTGATAGCCCATTGTACAAGTCCCTGACTTTTCTAAATTTATGAATCAACTTATATATTAGTAAATAAATAGTAATTTTAACTCCCACTCCATGGAACAAGAATTGCGATATCAATTAAAACCTTATAAGATACTCCATATGCACAAGGAACTAGAAAAACAACTAATATTTATAATATACAACAGCGTTGTAGATCGAGAGAAGAGTTTGTTTATGCCAAAAATTTGACTTTTTTTAACATAAAGATGGTGAATTCAATATCCTCCTAAGCTCATTTACATCAAACTTCTCCTATAATAATACATACAAATTTAGCATTGAATACACATTACAACTAATTTACAATAAGTAGATGCAACAACCAAGTAACTATTAATAAAGTATCAAGAATTAATATCTTTTTCTTTATTGAAAATCACATCTACAAATTATTCACTAAAATAAAAATTGTAATAATGGGCAATAAATATCTAACTAAATTTCATATTATCAACAAAATAACAGCAACTGGCTGAAATAACATTTATAACATCCAAAGGCTCTTAATAGTGGGATTGCCGCACCTGCACGAGGCACCAAGAGAGATTGAGAACGGTGACGACCCACAGGAGGGCGTAATAGGCCATCATGACGTAAGAATGGCCATATGTGAGCTTCGCAAAGCTCTTCCGTGCCTTCGAGGCGAGATAGACGACGAAGAGGGCCGAGGGGACGATCAACGCGAGGTTGTACGGGAGCCCGTGGCAACCCACGATCCACGAGGACGAGATCAGTGCGCTCCGAGACGATGAACCCTCCGGAAATTCATCCGTAGACTCCGCCGGCGCGCCGGCGAGGGACATCGCGGCCAGGAGTTCCTCCGACGCTCTCATATCCTCCAGCCAATCTTAGGCGGAGATCGTCAGCACCGAGGGCTTCCCCTCGAACCGAAGCCGATCGAAATCGCGACGGAAACGCTAGAAATTAGGGGAGATCGGGAGATCGGAGGGGAATTCTCAGAGCCCTAATTGTAGTCTCTATCTTGGAATCGCTACGAAGACCATTTTACTTGTTTTCTCTTTATATCTATGCGAGCGCAAACGACTCCAAGTCGGAAAATTTTGTTTACACTTATAAATACCCAATGTCTACCTGCATGGTGACATCAATGGGCTTTCGTCAGACCCACATCAAATTTCACCAGTTGTAGAGACGGTACGAAAATGGGTACTATCCGTAAAAGTATTCAATATTAGACCGGTTCGGTGATCTTGTGGTTCCGGTTCTCGTGCTAATCCGATAAAACATTTCATACTCGTTAAATACCCTACATATTTACCTGCATGGTGACGTCGATGGGATTTTGTCGGACCCACATCAAAATGAGGGTAAGAGTAAGGATTAAACCGGTTGGGTGATCTTTTCGTTCCGGTTCGCGCGCTAAGCCGGTGAGAAAACCAGCAAACAGGGAGACGCAGAACCATTGATTAGATTTCTACACGATGTGGCTTATGATATTTAGAATGTTTTGGATATGATAATAAGTTAAATGTTTGTCAATTTTATTCGTAATTTAATATGTTACCTTTTTTTTTCCTTCCCCAATCCTTCTATTGCCTACACTCATGTATTAGTGAGAGGTAAAGAGAAAAGGAAATCAAACCATTATGAAATCCATTATATTGTTGCACATGAAAACATATCTAGATATTAAAGAATGTCAAAAGGGATGTGGTAATTTCTTTGGAATGTCTAATATTTTGATTAATGATGATGTTTGTCTAAGACAGGGTTGCCTCCTTTCTTCATTCATTTTCATGTTGAGTTGAAAAGGAAGTGGTTAATGTCATGGACAGGCTTTGATTCATCCCTTGAAAAAAACCCCTCCTCCTAAGATAAAAACTTGGATTTGAATGAAGACAATCTCTTGGATGCCTCCATTGATGAAGATAATGGGAATGCTTCTATCAGCTGGTGGAAGTAATCATTCCTTGTCTTTCTTGGGGCTTCTTGGGTTCCTTATTTTTGGAATCTTAAGGAGGATGGTTGTGGAGTTCTAATCTCTTTCTGCTGTAATAACTGACTGTTTTCTCCAACCTGAAGCTGGATTTATTGTTTATATTATCTGACTCTTTAAATTGAAACACCATGGTCTCAACAGGGAAGCTTTATTCAGAAAATTCTGCAGTTTCTCTCCTACCATATCTTGTAAACAGCAGCAGATAGCAGGCATTTCAATACACTGGAAACTAGAGACTTGTGAGTATTGCAATCCCATTTCAATTCCAGTAACAGGAGGCATCATATGATGTTAATTTTATTTGGATGTTGGTCTTTTGAAATGCAAGTGTAATTTTACTTTCTTTTTTCTTTGTTAATGTTTCTTTTATATTCTTTGTTTTCCTTTCTTTCTCTCTCTTTTCCTCTTTACTTTCACCCGAATGGGATTCCCAGTGCCCCCAGTTATGCATTCCAAATAGACAAGTATGGCAGAATGCAGGATGTTGCCATGCAAAATATATTGCCTATAATCTTGTTATTAGAAAATATCAGCAAAGTGTCAATTCTATATTCTGAGGAAAGCAATGCAACTTGTTCTCCTGCAAGAGGATGAGTGTATCTTCACAATTGAAATCCATGATACTCTCAAGCAGCAGCAGGACAAACTCTATCATTAGGCCTACTCTCTGCTGTAATCCTTGTAACTGCTGGAAGAAAAATATTCTTTGAATTATGAGATAATAGATGGCTTTCATGAATGCAAATTAAGTCGCATTGTCATATCATTCAGCATTGTAATGCCAGTGAGTTTAATCATCATACTTAAGTACCATCTTTGTGCCACAAAATATTAAATGTTATGTTCACTTGAAAAGTACAAAGAAAAGCAATAAACTTGTGTTATGCTGAGAAGGAGAGAAGTCGTGCTCTGATTTCACTAAGAGATCTGTGAGATAATTTACTTTCAACCTCGAAGATTTCAAAATTATATGATAGACTATTTCTACTTTTTCATATATACAAAAATCTTTGCTTGTGGACAAACAAAGGTAAGGCATCTCATGATGTCCATTTCAGAAGACAAACACCCACACCATATTTGCATCAGCTTTTTCCATCTATTGCATTTGCAGCTACATTCCTTCCTTTTCTCATTTTGCTGTGTTCATGTAGGAAGATGCTGCAGGTGATGAAGTTAAAAGAAAAGGCTAGTGAGTAATTGGTGATTTAGAGAGAGAGATAGCTGAGGCCCTTAGGAAGCTTTTCAGGGGTCTGGAGAGCTGTCACATGTCTCTGGAGAAATACTTCACAGTTTGCAGTTTGGATTGAGTTCTCTAATCTATCAGTCTCGGCTAGTACATGGAACCTCGCAAACCGGATGATGGTGGTGTACTTCTCCAAGTCATGGCATTCCATTCTCAAATCCAATGTTGAATATCCTTTTTCCCATCTAAGACAAGAGATTGATTAGACGAATAAAAAAGAATGATTGAATGATGAAAGAAGTCAGATAAAGGCTTCACTAATATTATCTACTACATTCTTTACAGTGATATCAGTACTTCTCACTGTTTTCCCATAAAATTGACATCTCATGTGTATATTCTACAAATAAAAGAAGCCACAAATTGACAATCTGTGGATATCATGCATCCACAAGGAGTAAAGATCACCATAGTTCATTTAGTTCATGCCCTCAGAGGTCTTTTTCTATTTGTACAACCATACATGTCAAATAATGCATCATGCTAGTAACTGCAGCCATATATATCTTAAATCTTGAACAATGTCACTAGACAAACTTACATAGGAACCTTTTCTGGTATTTGTCTAGGGGTTCGTACATGATCATTGTAATCCATCCAGCACATGGATACTGATAAGTTTGAGAAGTCTCAACAATATATCTCCACTGAAGTGTGCATTTATGAAGTGAATAGCTGAGGTATTGCTTTGTTTTCTAAAATTACCATGCAAATTTCATTGATTTCCTGCAACCTTGCTGACAATTCTGGGTCTTACTATTTATGCCTTTTCCCGAGACATTGTCTCTCTGAACACTCATTATGATGTTTTTTTGTTATTCAAGCTTTTGTCAAATCCCTATAAATTAGCACCATTAGATGTGGCTGTAACATGTTATTAGTTTATAGTTTGAAATGTTTTTGCAAAAGTAAATCCATGTACAGTATGAAATATTTAATCTTCAGTTATCCCAATCAGCTCCACTGTGTGCAATAGTCAGTGGAAGAGCGACCCCAATTGTCAATCATATGTTGTAAATTGATATGCTGTAAAGTACTCATCTCAGAACAATGCCAAAAATCTAATTTGGTTGCTAATTTCACACACAAAATATAAACAAAAGCACTGAAGACATGTTGCAAAGTCTTGATACTTGCAATTGCCGGAGTTGCCTCTGGATATCCTTCTTACATCATTATATTCTAACTTCTTCACTTCTCGGGTTCTTTCATCTAGGGATTTTAATGCACAATTATAACTTTCAAACCATAGAAAGCTCATGTATCCGTGTATAACTTCCCCTCTTCCCATTGACCCAGTTGTGTGTAATATGTATACTCTTTTGATGAGTGCATTTGCAATAACTTGTGTCTAAAATTTTCTAGATGCTTCTCAGAAAAGAATAAATGCAAATTGAAAATGAGGTGCATTTAGGGTTGAATAAAGAACTCCGTAGAGGTAGTTAAAACACGTAAACTAAAATTTATGCAGTTAGACATTTTGGATATACCATCAGAAGTTGCAGCTTCATACTTAAGATTCTTCTGTCCATTCAGTACCAAACAAATAGAACATATACTCCTTGGACCTAGGCTGAATCCAAAGCAATCAAGTTTTCCAATCGAGCTTCATAACAGAAAGCAGTAACCAGAGTTCTGGATTTGAACCAAACACGACACATCAACTCCTGGATGGCTCCCTTTTACCCATTTATATGACCAGATCATGATTACAATTAACAGTTCCTGGAAGGTGACTTGCTACCATATTCAAGTTGATTGTTGATAAAGTCAATTTCGGTCATTCGTGAATCTAAACCATTCCCATTTAATGCTCAGGTTAATCACATGAACTTGTTAATGACCAGACCAAGATAAACTAAACTGGGACCTACTAGTTTCAAACCAGGTTCATGTCTGGTTGGCTGGTCAATCCACGAATTTCCACTTCTGTACAAAGAATTTCAAGCAAACTCTAAAGGGATGTTTTTACATTTTTCATAAATAGCATTAAGGTAAATGAAAAATTAACACATCTGCAACTTATTAACATGGAAGCAAAAGTATTTTTTTTCAGATCACAACAGAAGGAAAGAAGATAACAAGAAGAAGAAGGTTCTAAGAGATTTCTCTGTCAATCTCAGAATTGTATAATGAATTATCAATTTGAAGATGATCCTTATATGAATCAATAAACTGGATCAGTGCTAGCTAGATATTTGGCATTTGTCTTCTGGGGAGCAAGTCAAACATGAAATTTCATTCTATAAAGTATCTTCTATAAAAACAAGGAATTTCACCATGTTCAACAAGGGAAACTGCACTAAACCATATAAGCATGTAAAATAGTCTAAAATAATAAGAGATAATAATACGCTGTTCACAAAACGGAAAAAAGACAAATTACATAATAGATAATATTAATTTGCATACCAAGGAATGAGAACAATTGTAAAGGAGAAAAAAAAAGGCAGGGGAATCTCTGAGTAGACTTGAACATTGACTGTACCTCAGAAAACCAGTCTCAAGCTTCCTGAATCTCTGAAGGCAATTTTCCAGTATATTTGAGAAAGAACAATTTCCATCCTTCTCAGACATGTTAATTTCTTTAGATACCCTGGAAAAGATGTTTTATTATGAAAATTAGAATTCTTACAAAGATGGATAAATTTTCTAAGTCACACGTCAAAATTAACAAGCATCCAAAACATGTGATCATGAAAATTCTGTAAATACTCAAAAATGGAAGATAATGCAGAGCACGAATGTGCTATACCGTCTGAGTTTGTATCACAATGTAGAAGCACTTAAAAAACATGCGGTAATGCTCTCAATCAAAGCTGTGATTACAAGGGCAAAGCTTACATATCTCCACCTGTCAAATGCTGGACTCGATTTACTTCAGTGCTGCAGATATGACAGCATGCATCTGTTAATGCTAACTTAGCAGCAGTATAAGCAATGTTTTCATATGTAGCGGAGGCATTAGCAGTAAGAGATATGCATGGCAGAGGAGGAAAGATTTGCTGCATCAGCTGAGTAGTCCAAATCAGCCTTCGCCATGATCGGGCAGTTGACTGGCTGCTCCTTAGTAAACATTCAGCAACAATCTGTGGATCAAAACAAAGTCCATGCCTTCCAAATTACAAGTCATAGAGCAAATTAAAAGACATGTCACAAGCATATAATACCACACACTATAAACCGCGAACAGACCTTCTCCGTAAGTCGGTTAGTAGTTCGTGCCCAATCTAATTCTGTGCTGCTGAAAACAGTGAAAATTTCTTCACTTACAAGTAAAGACAAAGAATAACATGAAGTTCTTGTGATTAATGATGCACAATCACACAGTTCATGCCCCAATATTGAATGCCACTGATAACTACCTCATACTATCATGCTGTCGAGCAGCCCCTGTCACCTCTTTGTACCATGGTGAGAGGTCTGAGATTGCCCTTCTACGCTTCTTCGGCATCTGAGTCATGTCTTTGTCAGTGACATCTTGAAACGGAGAAGATGAGTGGTTGATGGTGGTAATGGAGGAGGATGAGGTGCTTTGCTGGAGATCACCAATCGGAATTTCATCATCTCTTTGCTCCTGAAGATTATAAATCTGCTTGCAATCCAAGCGAAAGCTAGATTTTGTGCAAGCTTGAGAGGCTCCAACTCCATCATCATTTGGTATAATCTCCCCATTTGTACAGGCTGCAAGCTGCTCAAAGCTGGAGGAAACCACCTGAGACTTATCATGGAGGGGTTTGCTGCCTCCATGAACCTTCCTTTTGGAACTTTTACTTACAGAATGTTCATTGATCTGACAGTCACTCAGGGTTGAACAAGAACCTTTGGCTCCCCCAACATTTTCCATCGAGGAAAAGCTTGGCATATTGGCATCAGATTGAAACAAGCAGTGTCGAGAAATTGCACCCAAATCTTTGGGAAATGTACTTTGTTCACAGTGGAAACCCTGACCTACTACCCACTCATGCTTCTCAATCTTTAGATTCTCCATGGAGTGACACTGAAACCTTGGAAAGGGGAAGGGGGTCTTCTTCAAGCTAAAGAAGAAGAACACTCATGCTTGGGTGGCTGAGAGTGACTACAAAAGGTGCTCTCCTCAGGAGCTCCTTCTTGGGAGCTATTCCGCAGATTTCACCAGAGTCCAAGCAGCTGCTGGGAACATGTTGATTCATGCTGCTATCTTTTCACATTATTTTATCTTTCTTCCTGTGCACCGCAGATGAATCAGCCTCAGCTTTATCTCTACGATCGAGAAGACATGATATTAGTTTCTGTCCCCTCATTTACTGATCAACGCTGTGGTGTTTGTAGTGGCAGCAGTCGAAGTGTCACTCGTGGAGCATCATCATTTTGCTTCTATTGTCTGATATATATATATATATATATATAAGAACTAAATGGTTAAGAGTCAAGGAGATCAGGGAAGGTTATAAGAACACTGTAGTTTGATTCATATGGCTGCCAAGAATGAGGAAGAACTGCAGTTGCATGGGAATGTCTTCTTTCTCGTCGAACACAGTCGTGGAGGGATGACACCGTGACGGAACGAGCGGGATTGGTTATATTCAAATCGTTCAGGTTTCTTGTATTATATTTTCCTTCTTTTATTCGATATTTTTCTTTCATGTTTTCATAAATATCTTGTAGCACTCTTTTTTAGCGGATTGATTCATAGAATGAACCAGTTTAGTTCTTCAATTATAATATATTTTATAATATTTTTTAAAATATTATAAACCTATTCGAGAGTATTATAACTAACACGAAAGTCTATTTCTTCTTAATCGTAAATTAATAAGAATACATACTTAAAATTTATTTTTATATATGAGTTTATTTTTATTAGGTTTTGAGTCCATTTGTTTCATATAGTTTTTGTATAGTCTTACAATATTTTGATGGAGGTATCAAAAATACTATAAATACATTTTTAAAATATTATAAACCTATTCCAAAGTATTATAACTAACACGAAAGTCTATTTCTTCTTAATCGTAAATTAATAAGAATACATATTTAAAATTTTATTTTTATATATGAGTTGATTTTTATTATCTTTTGAGTCCATTTGTTTCACAGAGTTTTTGTATAGTCTTACAATATTTTGGTGGAGGTATCAAAAATACTATAAATCTATTTATAATATTTTAAAAATATTATAAACCTATTCGAGAGTATTATAACTAACACGAAAGTCTATTTCTTCTTAATCCTAAATTAATAAGAATACATACTTAAAATTTTATTTTTATATATGAGTTGATTTTTATCAGGTTTTGAGTCCATTTGTTTCACAGAGTTTTTGTATAGTCTTACAATATCTTGGTGGAGGTATCAAAAATACTATAAATCTATTTATAATATTTTTTAAAATATTATAAACCTATTCGAGAGTATTATACCTAACACAAAAGTCTATTTCTTCTTAATTGTAAATTAATAAGAATACATATTTAAAATATTATTTTTATATATGAGTTGATTTTTATTAGGTTTTGAGTCCATGTGTTTCACAGAGTTTTTGTATAGTCTTACAATATTTTGGTGGAGGTATCAAAAATACTATAAATCTATTCAATAAAAACATTGTAACTAAAGTCATATATATGGAGGATTGGAGTCAGTTCACCCTGTGGACTGGTTTAGAAACACTATGTTGGGTCATGTTAGTGGTAATTCGATGATTACAAAAAGATAGAAACACCCATTGAGAAATATGAAAAATAAGCATCTTACAGGAAAAAAAAAATTCCAAAAGATTGATTTTTCTAGGAATTCACTCATTCAATCATAAAAACTAATGATATTAATAAGAGACAGCATAGAAATGAGACTTCTTCATGATCAGTCTACCATGGATAGAAGTCCTTTTTAACTCCGGATAGTGTGCGCATTGAAAGAGGACGAGATGGCAATGAGAAAGGCCAAGCAGTTGGGTAGAGGACAATGAGAAATGTCATAACACCGAGTCAAGTGAAACGAGGATATCATAGAACATAGATTTTGCTGACAGCAACTGTAGAATTCACAATGACTTAGGACCTTTCAGGTTTGAAATTTCATACAGTCCATATACTGGTACAAACTTATTGTTCGATGGAGGAGACAATACCGGTGATTTAAGGCCTTCATCGAGTCAGAAGATACATCATAAATTTGTCATTACAATTCCTAGAGGAGTATCTTGTTGTCGAACATTGGCATCCATCAATCATAGGATTACAAGACAAGAAATGCAGATTTATAATCTGTATTTGTATGCTTAAAGCCTCCAATCAACCCTCAACTTCCAAGCTGTTGGGCAATTAACCCAATGCTGACATCGGGTTCACCAATCCGCAATTTGCCATGTTTATCTTGGGGTACTGTTGGTTTTAAATTCTTTGCATGACTTTGATTGCTCGGCACAATGTTTTGTTGCATGAACTCTAACACGTTCACCATTGAAGTGGAGGTACTTCCATTTGTTCTTGTATTTTTTTAATAACAGATCCGGTTTGTCCTCTTGGCCCAATATTGTAAATGCTCTTCCTATCCTCGAAACAGTATCTTCATCAGGAGTCACTCCTAATTCCTCCATGTCCGCGAAAACCTGAAATTAGCAACCAGAAAATATCAAACCTTAAGCTGTGAAAACTTAACAAACCCTGCTTGGAGTAAAAGGACCACAGAGTCTTTGACGAGCTTCAATAGTTATCAAAAATGTTGAGTTGCAGCCAAAAAAAGAAAAAAGATATTTTTGAAGGTCATATTGTGCAACTTCACTGCCGTCCATCAAACAAATGATCATAAAAGCTAGCTGAAAAACAATATTTGCAGCAAAGAATGGAACAATTGGCTATTTTTACAAAGTTACAAATGAAAATGTTGCTTACCTCCAAAATCTTCTCAGGGTGGCGATGATGGTCATACAAAGCAATAATCCTTGAAAACAACTTTTTGGATACTGAACGAGTATGAGTTTGTAGAATGACATTCCAAAAGGATTCAGCTTCATCCACCCTTCCATCCATATCAAATGCCAGAAGTAATGTGTCATATGTTCCCATTGTAAATACTTGGCCTTTGCTTAACATCCACTTGGTAACCTGATTTGAGAACAGACCAGCCAATATCATAATTTTTAATATGCCATTTTGTTAGAGGTCAAAGAGTATGAATTATGAAACTTATCTTATTCACTATAGCTACCATATAAAAGTCCCCAGTGACCAACATGATGTTTAATTGAAAATCTAGAAAAAATCAGGCCATACAAAAGGAAAAAAAAAGGAAAGAACTTAGAGAGAAGAAAGCAAAAAAGAAGAAAAAGAGGGGTGGAGATTGTTCCTCTCGTATCCTGATACAAACAAGAAAATCTTTCAATGGTGCGAGCCCAAAGAATTTAGATGGTGGAGGCGGAATCAAAAGAAATCCCATACTTTTGATCCAACAGATCCCCATTTTCTTGGACATTTTGAAGGAATGATAGACCAGAAGGATCTTTAAAATAATCCAGTTAGGGAATCCAATAAGAAATTGTTCGTGTTGAAACTGCTAAAGCATGTTGTAAAACTTTGGTGGATTTCATGTGCATCTTAGGAAGAATTAAACCTAACAAGCTGAAATCTTGCTGATCAAGTTCCATATTTAGATAAGCTACATTTGATGTAATTACTTCTATCAAGTTTGAAAACCATAAATGACTGCACTAAGTTAAGGTAGAAAAACATCAGTAAGCCAAACCTGAATTATTCGGAGCCACTTCCTTCGTTTTCGCAGAATTTCCAATGCTTTTGCTGCAGCAATAACAGGGAATTCAGTTTCCCAAGCAGTCCACTTGTCCAATGCACCATAAATGACTTCTTTCTCATTAGGAAGTTTCTCAACCTGTAAAATATGGTCATAAGCTAATTTTTAAATCTTCCTCCCACGTCTCTCTCCCTCCACAACAGTACCATGATATGTTCCAACATATCATGCATCGGTATGCAGGAACAAAACGGATCCCTACCAGTCTGACCATGGACCAGCACTGGTCCGATACCCAAAATTGAAAACTTTGTAAAAAAACCTCAATCAAATGTGCCAAATACAAAAGAAAAACCTCAAAAACCGATGATCTTAACCCTAAAGTTCCAGATCCATAAAGAGTATATCATGTTTCTACCATTTCATATTCAACAAAAACTGAAGAAAAAGAGAAAATAAGATAGATAAATCAGTGAGGAAAATGAGGAAGAGAGTGGGAACCAACATTTCATTTAGAAATAAAAAATCCAAGATTTAAAAGCTTTAGTTACTAATTTGTTTCCATTTGAGTAGGCTGGTTTGATGTTCTTAAGACAGATGGTAAAATAAAAAATTCAATTAGATTTAAGATAAAGGTTTTAAGAGGGAAAGAGTTAGATGAAAGAACGCTTACTTAGAAAATATTAGAAAGGACATGGATACGATAGACATTGGATAATAACATATGGCAAGTGACATTGCTAAGCATCGAACAAGGACCCAAGTAGACAGTCCCATGTAGCTAGTTGGAAAATTAAATAAATAGCATAAAACATCAATATGAGGACAAATCCATCTTTAACATGCTCAAAGGATGTATAAGCCGAAGACTACATGGGCACCCAATATTTAATTAAGTATGTAATTACAATTATGGCATTCATATATGGTGCCATAGAACATAATACCATGCGCCTATGAGAAACTAAGGCAACAAGCATCTGAAAAAGCTATTACATTATGTTTCCTAGTATAATAAAACAATGTAGGGATGAAGGAAGCTATTTCATAACGTTGATGGCGTAGAAATATACACCAGAGTTTGGCCTCCATAAAACAATTGGATATAAACTTGGTTCCAGTTATCAAATGTTTTCAGCTAGTGTAGCAACAACACCAGCAATTTTGGAAAAATATAAGTAGATTACAACACCCATGACTCTGTTTTGAAATGATTGACCAACACTTTTCACTGATTGATTATTGAAATGTTCACATAAGAAAAGATATAAACCGAAATAATAATGCAAATATTACAATAAAGCCTTATAATAAAATACCATAACCTTTAACTGCCTAAAATATCAAAGCAAAAGTAAATGTAATATAGGTTACACCTGAAGAGGCAATATCTTACAGTACGGACAAGATTGAGAGCTTTTTGTCCAGATCCAGTTGAATCTCTCTTCATCCACAAATGGTGCTCCCTTTTGCTGGCCTTCATCAATTTTCTGTAAGCCATGTCAGTGTAAAATATTATAGTAGATTCAACGAATACGTTCTTAGAGGAACCATTTCAAGAGAACTTCTGCCTACTATAATCTAACAAATAAAGAAACCTCCCTAGCTACATAAATATGATTTGCAGCACAAAGTTGATTTCAATCAAAGATTAAAGCTCGATATAGAAAACACGGCATATAAATCTGAGAAGGAAAAGGCACTATACAACGACGGATCTCTTTTGGAGCACTGCACGAACCGGCTCACTCTAATCTGCAAAGAAGGGAACAAACCCCCGAATTGATTGGACTCTGAAGCAGAAGAATTACTAACTTGCAACCGCTAATTCGCATGTGGATGACCGACCTTTGAGGCAGGAATGAAGGTGAGGGAAGGGAGGCCTCTCAAGTCTGTCAGACGGCATAAATCGCAGAGGGGACGGACTTCTCCTAAACCCCAAGCACATCTCGCCATGGGTGTGGTATCGATTGGGAAGAAGCAACGATGAAGGGAACAATAGAAGGCAACACTGCCGAAGCCTCGCCTTCTCCGGCGGCGCGCGGGTGCCTTTTCGTACCTCCACAGCGCCGGAACGACGCGGAATCAGATAGAAGGGGTCGACGGGGAGACTGAGAGAGAGACATAAATCACGGCTCATGGCACGACAAGATGACGTGGCACACTTCAAACGAGCGGGAGAAGTGCGATTGGGCCGGTGTACCCAGAGTCGTGAGGTAAGTGGCGATCAACGTTGCCAAACGAGCCGGGTCAGGCTCAATACAATGCAATATAAGAAACGGACCAAACAATTCATAGGATAAGAAGCAAATCAAAACACGAATTAAACAAAACAAAATTCTATGTTAAATTATTCTATTTTTAATAAAATTTTTTTTTCTAAATTTCTTTATGTAATGAGAGTTGATTTGAATATTCAATATAATCATTCTTCTTTAAACTCATTTGCGAGACTCATTTTGATATGAGTACATTATGTTTTTATTTATGAAAGAAGTATTAATGATAATATTTTTATTATGATAAAATAGTAAACAAAAAAAACGTTGAAATTGGTAATTACACGGGCGTCGTTTTTTGCACGGACAAGTATGGTTGCCGATGGGTCCCACGTGGACCCCACAACAATGACAACGCAGATAGGGGAGCAGTTAAGCAAAGGGCCTCCGGTAGTAGTAAATGGGGCTTTATGCTCAATGGGCCAATTCCACAGCAAGCCCAAGCCAGGCGAAGATTAAGAGGAGGGGCAACGCATGCCCGTCTCTTTCTATAAAAGGGGCGCTCAGCTCTGTTCTGGAAACCCTACCTCACTCGGATCGCCGTCTCTTTTCTCGCGTGCGCACTAAGCAGCAGCGGCGGTTTTGATGGCAACCGTGGAGAATGCCGTGGCCAAGACCGTGAAGGACGTCTCACCCCACGAGTTCGTCAAGGCGTACTCCGCCCATCTCAAGAGATCCGGCAAGGTTCGATCCATCGTCTCCTCTTAAACAAAAAAAATCCAATTAAATAAGTGGTTTAGGAGATGTATATGTCCTGGGTGATGCTTCTGGTAAAGCATAGTGAATTTCTCGAGCATCAGGGTTTCTTAGGATCAGAGTGTACCAATCAGACACTTATTGACAGTAAACTGTATCTTAGGTAGAGCGATCTTGTAGTAACTCTATGCAATCTGTTTCTGATTGACTGCAACTGGTTACCCGCCTTCTCTTGTTTTGAGCTTTAGTTTCATGTTGTACTTGAATGATAGTAGAGGCAATCGAAGCTAATGACACTCGTAGGCACAATTTGCCACATTGAATTTTCCAATAAATATCATGTATATTATATTGGTCACTTATTTCCAAATAAAGAAAGTTTTGTCGTTATAAATTCTATTTCCAAGTAGTAATTGTTTAGGCTAAAAGATAGGAGGAATTATTATCTATGTTTACACCTTGTATCTTGCAGAATATTTGACTTGGATTCATCATCTTGTACTATCCTCATCTTTTGAGTGTAGGGTGAAACTTTTTTTTTTGGGTGAATAAGTTTCCTTTTTGTGCTTCCTTAGTAAAGAAATGTACCTCCTTTTCTCATTAACCTTTATTTCCTCCCTTTTATGTGGTTATATGTTTAAGGCCATTGAGTATATGTCATGTTGATATATTGAGTAAGAAATGCTTGAGTTTGCAGTATCTATCAATGATGTACCATGGTCTTTCTGAATCTTGTAGAGTGTGCTATTATCTGTTTGGTAATGATGATGTGATGAAGCAATATGAAGTTTGTTATTTTTAGTAGTTCCTAGCCAAGTAGGAAATTGGAAGTTTGTTTGTAATTTTAAGATCTAGATTTTGCAGTATCTATCAATGGTGTACCATGGTCTTTCTGAACCTTGTAGAGTGTGCTATTAGCCGTATAGTAATGATGTACCCAAGAAAATAGGACAAAATGTGATGAAGCAATATGAAGTTTGTTATTTTTAGTAGTTGCTCACCAAGTAGGAAATTGGAAGCTTGCTTGTAATTTTAAGATATAGTTCTAGATTTGCCCTGACCATGCTTGAGCTATGAATTGTTTGCATGTTTAAACTCTTTCCCTTTTGCATAGAACTAAGATTTCTTTGGAGCATGCTGAGGAAAGTAAACATCTGAAAATAGCAGCTACAATACTGTTTAGAAGGAAGATGCAATTGGACATCTTGGAATGCTTGTTTTTATCTCATTTCATGTTCTATAAAAGTAATATGTTGAAGAGTAGCTCCCGCTCTCGAGGTGCATGACCACAATTTTCTTTGTGAGATTGATAGAAGAATAAGGAAACTTTGTAAATTGTGGTTTTGTTTGGATTCTATTTAAATGATCCAACTAAGTTTAGGATGACAATAGTGGGTGTTAAAAGGTATGCTGATAATAAAGGCAAAGTGTAGTTTCTATGAAAATTATAAGATATAGGATTCAATTAGTTCTCTTTTTCGTTTGTTTTTTATTCTCTTTTTTACCTATAACAAGGCAAAGATCTAATGATGATTTGTCAAGGCATCTAATAAAATATAAAACTTGCTTGGCTATATGATGCATGATTATCACAAAATTGGTTGTGTTAGGTGCATTTCTATGGCTTGCCAATGATATCGTTTATTAATCTTTTATATACTCTTGTTGTCAGTGGTTGTGTGCATAGCTGGCTCAGCCAGTGGCTTGAACCAGTTGCAGCTGCTTAGGTAATTAATTAGTGAAGGGTGTAAGACAAGTCCTACATCTTTTTGCAATTATTATGGACTTACCCCTTTGTTTTATATTGAGATCCCAGAAACTCTTTTACTAGTAATGTTCTATTAGTTTTTTTTACCAGATGCATTTGATTTTGGAGTTTTCAAGTGAATTTTCTGCCATTGTTAGTTAGATTGAGTTTTGAGTAATTCTAAAATAATCAATTGTGCCAAAGTCAAGTTTTTGGACGAATCACGTGTGTTGATATCGGTTGTACTTGCATGCTTTGTGTAAGCGGAAACTTTTATTTTCTTACACTTTGGGTCAACACTTCTTCAACATTGTTCTGATTCTACTTGTCTCACCACTTCAATGGATAGATGGAGCTTCCTGAGTGGACTGACATTGTGAAGACTGGAAGGTTTAAGGAACTTGCTCCTTATGACCCTGATTGGTACTACATCAGAGCTGGTAATATCACACATGATAATTTTGTCATTCAAAGTAGTGGCCACCATTGTGATGAGTTGTTTGGCGCATCATTTCTCATATGGTTCTAATGTATCCATTTAATTACTGTTGCAGCTTCAATGGCTAGAAAAATATACTTGAGGCAGGGAATTGGAGTAGGTGGCTTTCAGAAGATTTATGGAGGCCGCAAGAGGAATGGAAGTCGCCCACCACATTTCTGTAAGAGCAGTGGGGCAATTGCTCGTCACATTTTGCAGCAGTTGGAAACAATGAATATCATCGAAATCAACCCAAAAGGGTAAGCATTTCATTCATCTATTGTTCTCACCTCTGACTGGAGTTGCTGGTTCCTTTGATCATGCATTTTTTTGTTATTTATCAAGATGATATTTTCTTGAATATCAGTATGTAGCCGGTAAGTGAAAGATGAAAACATGTTTAGTTTGATCTTACGTCATGGTATTTCGATGAAATTGAATTCTTATTTAGACTACTTGTCATGTCTCGATACATACTTTCTCTTATATTACCAGCAGCTGATAGTTGCAGCATTTGTAACGTGGTGTCTGGACCCCTTACTCTTCTTTAAGGACATTTCAGTTTAACTTCAAGTAAATGATGATGTGATGTAACAGCCTGCTTAGTTAAACCTCGTAAAATAGGGTTCGTTGCTTCATTTGTTTCAGCCACAGTTTTTTTATATGACATCAATGCTAATTTGATCACTTTCATTTGTTTCAGCCACACTTTTTTTTATATGACATCAATGCTAATTTGATCACTTTTTCTTAAGCAGAGGAAGGAAAATCACTTCTCAAGGACAGCGGGATCTCGATCAAGTCGCTGGGCGGGTATCGGTGCTTCCCTGATCGTGTTCTGATTCCATCGCATCAATTCAGAGACATTTTGTTCAGATCCTCAGCAGCAGAGTTACTTTGGTGAAAAGTTGGATGTATTATTTTGAGCATGCTACATGATTTGTTTTCTTATATTAGCCACCAATCTTACAATCTAAGATAAATGTAGGTTTCACTTCAATGGTGTCGGTTTGCCTCATTGCTTAGAAACCCTTTTGCTGCAACTAATATAAGTTTTGAGCTAATTGTTGGTGCCATAGTGGATGCTTTTTATGCAACAGTTGCAGTCTTCATCTGGAGAGGAAGGTTGCGATATCAAACTATAGATAATCTCGATTTTGGCACTTGTTGAGGCAATGGGAATGAGCTTTGAAATCCCTCCTATCAGGTTGGATTTGATCGATCTTTGCCTATGTTGATGCACGAGTTAATTACATATGATCTCATCTCACCTATTGGCATCTCAATTTTTAAATTTTAAAAAAAATTATATTAAATTTTTTTATAGTTATCGAGATAAAATATCTAATTTTATTTATCATAACATATTTAATTTTATTGATGGAAGTATGAAAATAATAGTTTAAAAGTAATTTTAATATTCTAATGGATGGTAATAGATTATATGATAAAGATTGTTCGATAATTAGGTAAATGAAATTAGATGTTTTATTTTTATAATTATAAAAATTTTAATATAATTTTTTATAAAAAATTTAATATAAATTTTATAAGTGCAGCACTTATAGTTTCAAGACTGTGATGATCAAATCCGAGTGTCTAAACCCACTGTGAATCCAAAGTTACTTTACTGGCCAACTTTACGGTTTGTCTCTACCCTGACTCGGCTCTCCATTACGAGAGTCACACATTTCACTATCGTCTCCCCTTCTAGGCATAGTCTCTGCCTTTACGGAGCCACGAGACTCATCTCCCCATGAGGTTACTTGGACCCCATGACCATATACTCCATGAATAAATCAAGTTTAGACAAAAGACGAGGTTTCTGGTCCTTCGAAATATAATACATGGAGGAGTAGCTGCATGCATGGCTCCTTGGGGAAGAACAGCACAGAGTTACCACAAACATCTCCGCACCTTCCTCCCTTGCCTGCATTTACTAAGGTGGCCATATCGTTCATGGGTCTCTTGCCTTTCGTTTAAACTCCACCGCCTCCTTTTTCCCTCTTCCCCATCTTTCCTACGCTTCTCTTGTAAAGCTCAGCAGCTCTCTTTCTTCATGCACTCCTGCCATCGAGAGAGCCATGAAGCTTCCTTGCTTTCCCTACGTCACGCTCTGGGCTCTCATTTTGGTTGCCTTCTTCCTCTCACCAGCGTCAGGTACTCGTCTCCCCAAGGAGGCCAACTTCTGCGACCGAGTTGTGAGCTCTTCCTCTTCAGCGCACAGGCTGCCGTCTCGGTGCATTCAGTCTCCGCCATCGCCGCCGGCAGTCGGGGAGGAGATCGATCCAAGATACGGCGTCGAGAAGTGGCTTGTGCCGGCGGGGCCGAATCCTCTTCACCACTGAGCTCTTGCCTCGGCTGCGGTATACCGAGTGTGAGGAGTTCTTCATGCGTCCTCTCTGGTCCCTTCTTTCCATCGTGTTTCCTGGAGTATGTGCTGTGTAAGAAGAGACTGAGTGCTGTTCTTGGTTTTGCGGAGTGGAAAGGAATCACAACGGAGGATGTCCTCTACTTTTAATTTCTATGTTCGATCTTTCAGTCATTACTAGTTGTTGTTGCTTTGGGTATGGCGTTCCTACTTGAGGTTTGCTTTTCTTTATATATATATATAGAGAGAGAGAGAGACTTGAATAAAGAGAAGGTTGATTTGTTGCACAAATTCTACTCCCTAAGCAAAAAGAAAATTAGTTTGATCATCTATAAATAACCGAAGAACAATATTTACATAATATAACTCGGAAAGATTATTTTTACGGTTCCGACTTTGATCTCATCGCAGCTCAAAAGAGGTTCACGGTTTCATTAAATTGAAGGGTAGTGGAGAAGTCATTGCACGGTCGCTTTAAAGGTCATCTCCCAAACCCCGACCGTCCTTGATATCAAATGCATTCATGTGTTCTCTTGTGACACAACTAATGCATGAGGCTCACGGATAACAATCTTACAAATGTTATGCCAATTCCATTTAGAACCAACAACCATAGGAAGCTCTGTTTTACTCATATTCTCTTGATCTAGGAATTATTAGACATAGATAGGTTTTGGTCAATTTAAGGTAGGCTTTTGCATGTTGACGTCGATAAAACCCTAAAATTAAGCTTATTATAAAAAAAATATCGTTGACATCTTTGTTAGCATAATGTGATCCTAATCCGTATTCATGGAGTCGTCCAAAGTGAAGAGTAGTTTCTCTCAAATCTTTATCTGCACAAAGATGAGGAGCTTCCCGAGTCAATTCCTCCGATGCTTAAGTTAGTACCGATGTCTATTTCTTTAACTTTGAATCCCCTTCATCCAAAGTTGAGGGTATGTTTTTATACTTACATTGAGAAGACGAAATATCCTGTAAAGACTTTGTAGGGAAGGCAGTTTGTAATCGACCCAAGCTGCCCCTTAGACTTCTGGAAATATTATTATGAATATTTCACAGGGTAGATAGTTCGTAACTATCCCGGGCTACCCCCTGGACTCCCAAAAATATTCCTACGAATATTTTATAGGGTAGGCAGTTCGTAACCAATCCAAGCTACCCTCTGGAATCCCAAGAATATTCCTGTGAATATTTTGCGAGGGAGGTAGTTCGGTAATTGACTCGAGTAATCTCTTAGGATCCTAACCACACGGGCAAGCATGTATCAGGCCGTCTAGGCCTTTTTTCCTCCCATGGGTCTCACGTGGCACTAGTGTGGCGAGCGATGGCTGACTAATTATATATTCACTATCATTTGTTCCCCTCCCTTAAAAGCATACTTCGGGCTCTTGAGTTTGAGCACATTGTTTGGTTTTTTTGGCATGGGAGCATTTAGGATCTCCTCTTGTAAGTTGGGTTTTTTTGAATTAGGTGTCTTGGGTATATTGTGTCTTGCATCTTTATCGTGGTAGATTTTACTTAGCGCGGGTAAGATTTTTCTTGACTCATACATCTCGAACACCATTTGGCCTAATTTTTCATCGTAGTGGGTTTCTCTTTTGTGCAGGTCTGGTCTTCCTGACTCACGCGTCTCAACCGTATTTCGGTTAGCGCGAGCTAGATTTTTCTAGACTCATGCGCTTCGAGTGCCATTTGGCTCAATCCTCCGTTGTAGCGAATTTCTCTTTACGTGAGTTGGGTCTTCTCGACTCATATCTCTTCGGACCTATTCCAAGGGAACACTTGACTTAATCGCAAAGGGTGGCTTCATTATAGCAGGGGAGAGTCTGCTTTCCCCAATCAACATATGTAGTGGGTTGGGAGAGTATATTTTCTTCACATCCTCCACAATTGGTAATGGAAGAGAGAGAGAGAGAGAGAGAGAGAGAGAGATGCCCAAGTGGCATCCCTTCCACATAGTCCCAAAGGGACACTTGTGTCAATCATATGGAGAGAGAAATTTCATATCTTTCTCGACTAGCACTTCAGCAATAGAGGAGAGGAAGATTTTCTCGTATCTTCCTTGATTAACGCCTCAACAATAAGGGAGAGAGAGAGATTTTCTTATATCTTCCTCGATTTGCACCTTAAGAACAAGGGAGTATCCCTTCGATGTGACCTCAAAGAGATATTTATGCTAATCGCAAGAGGATAGAGATAGTCTCTTATCTATTATGAGTTTGGAAGGCAACAACATGCTCCATCGGGTCAGTAGTATCATCAAGGTTTTTGACGATGGGAGGCAAAAGTTTGTTCGGATCGGCTCCTCCTGGATATCCTGAATAAATGGTGACCGACTCAAGATGGGGTTGACCTGCCCATCACCCCTGGATTGATGAAAGTCTTAGTGTATCTCTTCTAAGTATCAGTCCATTTATTATAGTTGGATCCTCGAAGAGTTATTTGTTGTATCTGTAATAAAATCAAATAGCTAAGTTAGAAATTATTATTATTTCCTTACTTGCCATTGTACTTTAGGAAATCTTAATCTATTTCCTTGTTTGCTATTACGAATTAGGAAACAACTATTAAGCATTCCAAATATAGTGATATCATATTTGTTATTATATTAAATATAAATAATTTATATTAAATAAATATGAAAATTAAAATAAATTTTCTTTAATGGAGGCTCACATCCTCCTATTTAAGGGGAGGGATTTCTCTTCTTCGTTCCTCACCTAGTCGAGCCTAGCAGTAAGAGGAATGTGGAGTTACACCCTGTTGACGAGAGGTAGGTTTTCCCTACCTTTCTTGAAAATAAAAGTTTTAATTTTTATTTTGATTCTTTAAATATCAATTTTTTTATTAAAATCTATTAGTTAAAGTTTTTTTTACCCTGTTTAAGGTTTTTATTTTTAGATTTAAACATGTTAAAAAAATACATGTTTTATGTATTAAATATATAATATTTCCTGGCATTACAACTTATCTTTAAGAATTTTTGTTGGATTAAAATATATTATCTAAAATTTTGATATTATTTGATTTGAAATTTAAAATGTACTATTCTGAATGATTTAAAATTTATTTGACTAAAATATGTTGAAATTATACATATGTTGAAATTATGATTTCTATTTGAATTTAGAAAGTTATTTCCTTGTATTAAAATTTATCTCTTAATCTATCTTTTAATGTGCTATTATGTATTTATTTATATAATTATTGGTGAATATATGTTATAGTATGGAATTGGGTATGAATTGGATTTAAATTGCTCATAGGCCAGGCCCAACCCACGGGTTAAGCCTTGACTCAACCCAACCTAACAATCATGGGCGATCACATATGACGCACATGACCAGTCTATGGGCCAAGGTTAAGCCAGCATGGTGTGATGCATACCCAGTCATGTGTAATGCACTTGACCAGTATATGGGCTGGTTTAGTCTAGCCCAATATTATTGTTGGATTTGAGCCTAAATATTAATTGAATTAAACTAAGCTTGATTAGTCTAGCTTGATTCAGGGTGATTCCGAATTGATTAACTTATTCAAGTCAGTATAACCTAAATTAAACCTAATCTAGTCTAAATTATACTAGTCTAATGTGGTTCCAGACTAGTTAAATAAGGATTAGAGATTGATTCAGTTATGCTCTAGTAAATCGAGTTCAATTAGATCGATTGAACTTGGGGTTAAGTCAATTGAGGGCTAATTTGTATTATTTAATATTGATGATATTTGAAAGAGATATTTTAAATGTGTTATTTCATCCCGATATAGACATGACCAGTGTGAGATTATGTTATTTTTCTACTGAGAGCAAGTAGGGTGATTCCCTTCAGGGATTAGCGGGTCATCAGACGTGGCGGCTAGACGGTTCCTTCATCTGCTATTGGGAGGAATGTGTCCCTACTTTGGCGGATGAGGAACACCATTTCATCCACTGTCAGGAGTGCGATATGAGTTTGTCTCCATCTACTGTTAGGAGAATACAAACTCATCCCGTATGATAAAGCCTCTCCATCCGTTGTTGGGGAAGTGCTCCTTCGGGTATTTGATATATGTCAATGAGATGATTGAATTTTGATCATGTATTCATTTTGAGTTAACTTTTGGGATTCCTACTCAACGTTGCTGAACTTTCTTTTTTTTTTTGTTTCTAAAGCAGCCTTCCTCTAGTACTAAATCAAATTCCATTGGAGAGCGAACCTTCCTCTACCGCTAGGTAGGAGCCACTTGGATGATTCTTGAAGTTAACATTACTATGTTTACTTTTTTATTTATGATTTGATGAATAAATGAATTATAATAAATATTTATAAATGATGAATAAAGTGATGTTTATCTACTTGGTTTTGAATATATGGAAAGATTAAAAAAAAAATCCAGGGTGTGACACATTTTTATGGTATCATAGCATGGTCTAGGGGCTGTAAGTGTATTAGGTCTATTGATTGACTCTAATCGATGATTGCCTTTAATCTATTATAGCAGTAATTGATCCAATTCCAGAGATTAGTGGTCTTGTCACTCGGGGTGCTCATGGCTGTAATACTACTGGTTTACGCACTCGAAGAGGTGTTCGAATAAACAGTAACTTGGAAGTTCTATGCATTGTAGAGCAAACCCAATCCTCACGTACACCTAATCACTGATTATGGGCTAGCTTCTCCGACTTTGCATAATGCACCACATGCCGTAGCACCCGTCAATGCTCCGGATGACGTACATGGAGTCCTCAATGCTATTAGAGGATACTTTGAGCGTCAGGAGGAGTGAGATGAAATTTCACGAGATAGAAATAATACCTTAGATCACTTTAAGAGATTGGGACCACTAGTTTTTTAGGGTAAACCACATCCAATATTTGCTGAACGTTGGATTCATCAAGTGGAGAAGACATTCGAAGCTATCGAACGTAGGGAAAATCAGAAGGTGCCTTTCGCTTCTTTTAGTTTGGAAGGAAAGGCAGACACTTGGTGGACCTCATAAAGGAGGATGCTAGAGGATGGAGATGATGTGGTGACTCGGGAGCAATTTAAGGATATATTTTATGAGCAATTCTTTCCTGATTCAGTTCGCTTTGAGAAGCAACAAGAGTTTCTTAGCATCCACCAGGGAAGTAGAACCATAATGGAATATAATCATTATTTCACTAAGTTGACCTAATTCTCTCCACATATTGTCTTAAATGAAAATCAAAGAGCTCGTCATTTTGAGAGGGACTTCGATCATCAATTAGAAAGTCTATTGCAATACTGATTTTACCAACATATGCTGAAGTATTAAAT